ATCCAAGGCATCCTATACCAAATATGTACCCAACAACTGAGCCTCCCCTGGCTCGAACCATCCAACTAGCGATCGGCACTGCTTCCCTTATAATGCCTCATAGGGAGCCATATGAATGCTCGACTGGTAGATGTTATTTTATGCAAACTCCGCAAGTGGCAAGAACTGATCCCAAGTACCCCCGAAATCTATAACACAAGTGTGGAGCATATCCTTTAATTTCTAAATAGTGCGCTCGGACTGTCCGTCCGCCTGAGGATGAAATGTTATGCTCAACTCAACCTGCGTGCCTAACTCATGATGTACTGCTCTCCAGAAGTGCGAGGTTAATTGCGTACCTCGATCAGAAATGATAGACATGGGCACACCATGAAGACGGACTATCTCGCGGATGTAAATCTCAGCCAACCGCTCTGAAGAATAGGTAACTGCCACAGGAATGAAATGTGCTGACTTGGTCATCCTGTCCACGATAACCCATACCGCGTCGAACTTCCTCTGAGTCCGTGGGAGTCCTACAACAAAATCCATAGTGATATATGCTCCCACTTCCACTCAGGAATCTCTAACTTCTGAAGTAAACCACCAGGTCTCTGATGCTCAGACTTTACTTGCTGATAATTAAGGCACCGAGCTACATATGCAACTATATCTTTCTTCTTTCTTCTCCACCAATAATGTTGCCGCAAGTTCTGATACATCTTGGCGGCACCTGGATGAATAGAATACCGGAAACTATGGGCCTCCTCAAGAATCAACTCACGAAGTCTATCTATATTGGGCACACAAATACGACCCTGCATCCTCAGAACTCCATTATCTCCAACAGTAACCTGCTTGGCACCACAGTGCCGCACCATGTCCCCAAGGACAAGCAAATGAGGGTCATCATACCGCCGCTCTCTGATGCGCTCATACAAGGAAGACCGGGCGACTGTGTAAGCTAGAACTCGACTGGGCTCTAAAATATCTAACCTCACAAACTTATTGGTCAAGGCCTAAATATCTGACGTAAGCGGTCTCTCACCAACTAGAATGTACGCAAGGCTGCCCATACTCACTGCCTTTCTGCTCAAGGCATCGGCCACCATATTGGCCTTCCCGGGATGATACAAGATGGTGATATCATAATCTTTCAACAGCTCCAACCACCTCCTCTGCCTTAAATTGAGATCATTTTATTTGAACAAATACTGTAGACTCCAGTGATCTATGAATACCTCACACGACACGCCTTAAAGATAGTGCCTACAAATCTTCAGTGCATGAACAATGGCTGCTAACTCTAAGTCATGAACAGGGTAATTCTTCTCATGAACCTTTAACTGTCGTGACGCATATGCGATCACCCTACCATCCTGCATCAGTACTGCACCGAGCCCAACATGAGATGCATCATAATACACCGTATAAGATCCTGAACCTGTGGGCAACACCAACACTAGCGTCGTATTTAAAGCAATATTGAGCTTCTGAAAGCTCAACTCACACTCGACTGACCATCTGAACGGGATACCCTTCTAGGTCAATCTGGTTAATGGTGCTGCTATAGATGAAAACCCCTCCATGAACATATGGTAATAACTCGCCAAACCCAGGAAACTCTAGATTTCCGTAGCTGAAGTGGGTCTAGGCCAGTTCCGAACTACCTCAATCTTCTTAGGATCCATATGTATGCTCTCTGTAGATACGACGTACCCCAAAAAGGCGATTGAGTCTAACCAAAACTCGCACTTTGAAAACTTGGCATATAATTGGTTGTCCCTCAGAGTCTGAAGTACGATCCGAAGATGTTGATCGTGCTCCTCTCGACTACGGGAGTAGATCAAGATATCGTCAATAAAAACAATCACGAAGGAATCCAAGTAGGGCTTGAACACCCGGTTCATCAAATCCATAAATGTTGTTGGGGCATTAGTCAGCCCAAACGACATCATTAGAAACTCATATTGCCCATACGAGTCTGAAAAGCTGTCTTAGGGACATCGAATGCCCTAATCCTCAACTGATGGTAGCCATACCTCAAATCAATCTTCGAAAACACCTTGGCACCTGATCAAATAAGTCATCAATCCTCGGCAACGGATACTTGTTCTTGATGGTGACTTTGTTCAACTGCTGATAGTCTATGCACATCCTCATCGATCCATCTTTATTCTTCACGAACAACACAGGTGCACCCTAGGGCGAGATACTAGGTTTAATGAATATCAAGCAAATCTTGCAGCTGCTCCTTCAATTCTTTCAACTCTGGCGGGGCCATACGATACGGCGGAATAGAAATGGGCTGAGTGCCCGGAGCCAAATCAATACAGAAATCAATATCTCTGTCCGGCGGCATCCCTGACAGATCTGCAGGAAACACCTCTGGAAACTTACGAACAACTGGTACTGAATCCATGGAAGGAACTTCCGCACTAGAATCGCGGTCATAAGCCAAATAAGCTAGACACCCCTTCTCGACCATACGTCGAGCCTTCACATAAGAGATAATCTTGCTGGTAAAGTGGCCAGGAGTCCCCTTCCACTCTAATCGAGGCAACCCCCGCAAGGCTAAGGTCACCATCTTGGCGTGACAATCCAATATAGCATGATAAGGTGACAGCCAATCCATACCCAAGATGATATCAAAATCTACCATATCGAGACGTAGGAGATCTACGCTAGTCTCAAGACTCCCAATGGTAACCACACACGAATAATAGACACGATCTACTACGATAGAATCTCCCACAGGTGTGGATACATACACAGGAGCACTCAAAGAATCACGAGGCACAACCAGATATGAAGCAAAGTATGATGACATGTAGTAATAAGTAAAGCCCGGATCAAATAGAACTGAAACATCTATATGGCAAACTGGGACAATACCTGTGACAATAGCGTCAGATGACTCACCCTTAGGCCTTACTGTAAAGGCATAAAATCGGGGGATGTGCCCCACCGCTCTGAACTGCGTCCCTAGGACGGCCTCTAATTGGCTGGCATCCACCTCTAACGGCCTGACCTCCATCTCTAATGGCCTGACCTCCACCTCTAGTTGCCTGACCCCTACCTCTAGCTGGTTGAGCGGGCGGTGAAGCAACCGCTGCCAGGACCATGGCACAAGAACCTTGCTGCTGTGAGCTGTCTGGTGCCCGAGGGCAAAATCTAGCAATGTGCCTCGGATCACTACAAGTATAACAGGACCTCGGTTGCTATGACTGCTAACCCTGAAACTGACTCTGTCGATCCGAGTAACCACCATGAAAACTCTGGAGCAGAGGTGCACTAATAAGAGTTGGTGGTGCACTGTAGGCTAGATGTTTCAGTGGTGCACCCTGAAAACATGTTTCTAGATATTTTTGTTGTAATCATTCACAGCTTGAGACCATGCGGTATGCGTTCAATGGAAGTGATACAACACAGTTCATATGGAATGAAATAGGACCTCTGGGAATGAAACATCAACTTGAACCTATTATTGGAACTTTCAAGAGATAATGGGATGCAAAAACTACTAACACAATACAGAAACATATTATGCAGATTGCGCCCACTATCATATGCTAGGAAATTTGAAAGCAATGGATCTCATGTAGATACGGCAACAAAAACAAGTTCAACCACAACACTATGAAGTACCAATGGGTCTGGATCATCAAGCATACAATTGTGAAGGTGGTTCCTGGTATGGATAGCAAGGTCCAGTGACCTAATTGCTGTGATAAAATAGAAAAACTCTAGTCGGTTCAAACTTGGAAGCAAGTTAGATGGAAAATACCCTCGGCGGATACTATCAAGGTCAATATTGATGACATCAAAGAAACTGGTGCAGCTGGTATTAGGGGTATTCTGAGAAATAATAATGGTGACTTAATCATGACTTTCTCAGTCCCCGTACAGAGTAATAGCAACAATATGACTGAAGCTCTTGCAGTTGAGTTTGGAGTGAAATGGTGTAGCCAACATGGGTTCACTAATTTTGTTCTTGAACTTAAATCTCTTATCATTGCAAAGATGTTGACAAACAAAGATGCCAACAACCTCAAGATTAAGCAGATTGTGGACAATATCATCAACACCATAAATGATGTTAGTGTCTGCGTGCAAGATTGCCTTAGGGAGGGTAACCAGGTAGCTGATTGTTTGGCTAAACTCGCTGCTACTTCTAATCAGGTCAAGAGTTTCCAGAACTTCCAACAACTCCCAAACATGGCTAAAAGTATATTCCTTCTTGATAAATGGCAGCAACCCACAATAAGAATAAAGTATGAAAACTCTAATTTCTTTGTTAGCTAGAGTTGTATATGGCGATTGGAGTGAGGACCTGTGCTTTTTTGTTTACCCAGTCCTCCTCTATTTAATTTGGGTGATGGTACCACCCCTGTTGTATTGGTTTCGAGGTACGGTTTATGCTCCCCTCATGTAAGTTTTTGTGAATACAATATAACCCAGAACCTTCATCTGGGTAGCTTTATTTTAAATATATATACTCCCTCTGTTTCAATTTATGTGAACTTATTTCCTTTTTAGTCCGTGCCAAAAAGAATGACCTCTTTTCTTATTTGGAAACAATTTACCTTTATGCAATGATTTATAGCCACACAAAATATATGTGTCTCATTTTACACCACAAGTTTAAAAGTCTTCTCTCTTTTCTTAAACTCCGTACCCAATTAAATAGGTTCACATAAATTGAAACGGAGGGACGAGGGAATATATATATATATATTCCCCTTGATTTTTCATATGTTAACTTTTATATATTTGGATCGATACCATTAAATACTGGATCCACCCTTTACCTAAAGACTTTCATTGTACTGGTTCATTATATTGTGCATGCATGTAGGCTGTAGGAGTGGGATTAATTGGTGGGCTCCGTTCCACCTTTTGAAACAGTAATTCATGATTGACATTGAGCTAAATGGCAGAAAAAGCCAAAGGTTGGTGACGGCTAGCTTTTTACCAACAAAGTGAGTGTGGGATCCATTATATAAATTTAATTTCCAGAATAGACATTCATTGTTGCTATCTTCAATAATTAACGACTAGGTTCTGCTGCTTAACCCTTTACCATTCTTTCCCCTTTTCTTGCTATAATTCAAGTTAGAACAGGAAAAGGAGCGTCTGGGTTATCTTCAGTCTGGTTTGGTTAGTCCTCACTACTTGTGCTTTAATTTGATTGGATTTCATCTGCTGGATTATGTGTGGTGGATTTATTAAGTTTGTAGTTGGATCTTGAAATGTTTAATTTGTTGATAATTTCTATCACTAAACAGCTTGAATAAGTTGCAAGTCAGCATCATTTTGGAGAAAGATTGAATTTTTATGTGAGTTTGATGTGTATATTAACAAAACCATATTGAGGGGGTTTTCAATAATTTTTTATTTCACAATGTATAATATGTTGATTTGGAACTATGAATAAAGAGTTAAATAAGCTAGAAGGATGTCAGAGCCTTTTTTGAAGTTGGTAAATTAAATCAACCTTGCCTTCTATATGAATCCTGTATATCTATTTCGCTCTATTCAGAAACCGGAATCATGAAAGCGTAAATAATATGAATAAGAAGTAGAATTAATACATTCGATTTAAAGTATTTAAACAATCTGTTGTTTGAAAGAATAGATAACACTTTTAAGGTACCACCCTAAGAAGTAGAAGGATTTGGTCTGATCAAGACTTCTATCTTTTACGTTCCTCTTTCTTTCCTTGTTTCTCTTTTTTTTTCAAATTCTTATTCTTGTAAAACATAAGATAGGAATAAGGCACACACTACCCTCTCCAGACCTCACTTGTGGGATTACACTGGGTTTGTTATTGTCTTGTTGTCTTGTCTTATTCTTGTAAAGCTCATTTTCTGTTGTTATTGGTCATTAGTAGTCACTGAAATTTTATGTAATTATGGTTGATTAACTAACATGTTAACTGATCAATTATTTCACCTCCATGATTTTGGTTAAGGATTTTCTAATTTTTCTTTTGCTTTCAGGTTTTTTTTGTTGGAATCTTGTTACTTTGTGAAGCAGATTCGAATATAGAACCTGCTGCTCTTCATCTGGCAATGAATTGCTGAAAGCTGTGCCCTCAAATAACCACTCAATTACCAATTACACTTAGCATCAACAAAACTGAGAAAGTTTCTCATTTCCAGATAAGCAGTCTAGGATTGAGCACTCATCTCGCATGGAACAACAGGTTAATCAAAGGAGTGAAAATCATGATTTTACCAGAAGACAAGATTGGGATCCAAAAGCCATGTTAAACAATATGTCTTTTCTTGAACAAAAGATTCATCAACTGCAGGAGCTGGTGCGTATAATTGTTGACCACAGAAGTCTAGCTGGGATTCAGGGAAATGACCTTTCAATTCAGCAACAACAGCTAATAATTGCTGATCTTACCTCTATCATTGTTCAATTAATATCAACTGCAGGGAGTCTTCTTCCAACCGTAAAGCATCATACACTTTCCTCCGCGAGCCCAACTACTAAGCAACCTGCACAGTTTGGTGGTGTTTGGGTTCCTTCTGGAAAAGTTATTGATGCCGGTGCACTACCACACAGTGTTAATGTAACTAAGGCAGAAGATCAGCCCAACCATGTTGATCTAATGGGCGATTGTGGCATTGTACAGAAGTATGATGTTGATGAACATGAGGCGAAAGATGAAGATGAATTCCATGACGAAGAGAACCTTCCCCCTGGTTCCTACGAGATTCTGCAGCTGGAGAAAGAGGAAATTCTTGCACCTCACACTCACTTCTGCACAATTTGTGGGAAGGGATTTAAGAGAGATGCCAATTTGCGGATGCATATGAGGGGTCATGGGGATGAGTACAAAACTCCAGCTGCTCTTGCAAAGCCTCACAAGGATCCCAGCTCTGGGACGATGACTCTTATTAAAAGGTATTCCTGTCCTTGTGTTGGTTGCAAGCGCAACAAGGAACATAAAAGGTTTCAGCCGTTAAAAACTATCTTATGTGTGAAAAACCATTACAAAAGAACCCACTGTGAGAAAAGCTATGCTTGTAGTAGGTGCAATCTGAAGAAATTTTCAGTTATTGCAGATCTTAGAACACATGAGAAGCATTGTGGTATAGATAAATGGCTTTGTTCTTGTGGAACAACCTTTTCCAGGAAAGATAAGCTTTTTGGACACATTTCCCTTTTCCAAGGACATACACCTGCAATTCCTCTAGATGAAACCAAAGGTTTTGCTGGGACATCTGATCAAGGCCAAATAGGTAAAGCAACGACAGAGGCTGGAGAGATCGGTTTTGAGTTAAATGTTCAGAATGGTAGTGGGCTTCAAACTACTATAAATGTAAAAGAGGATGCAGATAATCCTGGCAGTTATTTGTCACCTTTGAACATTGAAACTTGCAAGCTTAGCGAACTCCAAGAGTTTCCCCAGCCACCATTTGAGGACCCAGAAAACTCATTCTCTTTTCTACTGTCAGGTTCATGTAATTACCCTCAGAGGGCTGGGAAAATATAGGTTCTACTGAACTGGAATAGGTCAAAGTGAATTTGTCGTTGGTTTGATATAGCGGTCTGTTTTCTTGTTATGTCAGTTCCTTTTGGCAATAAGTGAAGTCTTTTCTTAGTATGTAATGCTCTTTTTGATTGCTTAAAATGTTATATCTGGCTCGACTAGGTATGTTTTTTAACTTGCAAATCTGTAGTCCTAGTTGCAGCAAGTCAACAATAAATGCATTAATCGTCTAAAGCTTTTCTATAGAAGTTCAGAGGAAGATAAATTTTCTAGATAATCCTTGATTCGGATCAGAATATCTATTAATCTGCTTTTAGATGCAAACAAATTTCATTAACAAACTGCTCCTTATTTACTTACGCAAGAGTATCAGGATAGATGCCGAGCAAATCAGATGATAACAACCATATCCCAAAGTGTTGAGTTGTGTCCCTAGAAAATTTAACAAACAAAGAAAAGAGAGGAAGAAGAAGAAAAGTGAAAAAAAAAATACTGAAGATATTGGACTGCAAATGTAGATGTATTAACAAAAACGTCTACAAAGTATCCTGATTTCATGAAGAAAGTCTCTGAATCATCTAGAATCAATTTCAGTGCAATGACAAACAGAAGTTCCAAGAGATTGAAACAATGGTCATTTACAGGTTTAGATGCAGCCAGAAGATCTGAATTCATCTTCAACATCTTTAATAAGAAGGGGGGACGCTCACTGGCTAGGCTAAGTGGTTCAGCTTCTATTGGTTACGGAAACTACTCTACTCAGCTAACTGCCGCTGCCTGAACAGATTTGCCTATAATGAGAATTATGAAGCAATATCAGCTTCAAGCCTTTTGCTGCTTGTCCTGACTTTGATGACTGCTTTAGAGCTCCAGGATAGTATGGCTCCCCAAGAACAAAGTCATCCACACATGACCAAGTGCTTCCCCTGGGAGAGCTGTCTTTCCAAAGAAATCTCTCTGAGAATGGATTCACCAGACTCTCCCGGAAATCTTCTGCTGTCTCACAGTTTAAACCCTGCCGATCAATAAACAAAAACTGAAGTTTCAGTTGATGCTCATGGCACAAGCAGAAACATTTTTCTTTTGTTTTCAGAAGGGGTGGTGCAGATGCTGAAGGGAGGATTATTTACTGTGTCTTACTTCTGCCATGGCCTTGATCTTCATGGTAAGATCATTGCTAAGGAGAACAACTTGTCCATCTCTGTTAGTTCGTTTGAATAGGAGGGCACATTCAAGGATATGATCTTCTGCTGTGGGTGAAACAATTTCCGCTAGACCACAATGTGGAGAGGATAGAACTGAGCCGACTGCAAAGATGCTATTCTCCTTACTGAACAAAGACGGTGGTGCAGTAGCAGGAGGAGTTGGTGCCATTGGCCTTGCTTCCTCCACACAACTCTGCACATGAACCCATGATTCTGCATTTACCTTGCAGTCTTCTATCCATTCTAGTGCTGCAGATACTTCTGTTTCTCTCCTAAAAAAGCCAGCACGCCTCTTCATGCAATCCAGTTCCCTTAAGACTAACATCAAGTAACAGGTAAAGATCACGTAAAGCGGTTTTGCATAATAGAAGTTATTGAAATACATGAAAATGTCAGGGAAATTTTCTGAGGGAATGCCAAAGTAAGTTCATTACCAATTCTGGGGATTATCAGGTAAGTCCCCTTGAGACCTTGCAAAAGCTGCAAAGCTTTTCTTGACTCTTTGTTTAACAAAGAAGTGGTGTCCACTACCATGTTCCACCTTCTTTTCTCTTCCCTGGCATTGTTATCCTGCAGATATTGTTTGAAGGATAAATTAGGAATTATCAACGTTCCCAGTTCTCATTGGTTGTGGTCATCCAAGAGACTCAAATTTACAATTGTTATGCTGTATGGTCTGAACTCCTAATAGCTAACCTCTGAACAATCATTATGTCAATCAGCATTGCCTCATTGAATAAAGTGTAAAAGAATAGTGTAACAAATATAAATAGTAAACCTCTGTCCTGGCCTAAATCAAATCTATTACTTTCAAAGGCTAACAACTTAATACTACAGATTAAAAATCATGAATCTGAAGAAGTTTTCACATAAGAAACAGGTAAATGCAACTTACAGAAAAGGGGCCTGCTTCCATAATTTGTTGACACTTGATTGGATTAGCATTCAGCTTGACTTCTTCCGGAGACTCTGAATTGGTGTTGCTGGGGGAGTTCACAAGCAGAGATCGAAATGGTGGTCTATCTGTTCTGTTCTTCAGTATGGTTACCTCCGAACTATCCATATTTCTGGAAGCAACACTTGCTGATTTCTGCTCTTCAAGAACTTTGCCAATCAAGTTTTCTTTCTCAAATGGTTTTATATGTTTAACTTCCACCATTTTCCCCTTCCTTTTCGATCTCATTGAACAACTATCAGGTTTCATATTCTCTTTATCTGGAGTGAAAATTTCTTCACTATTGTTACTCATACTTGGCAGCATTATAGATGATCCGATATTCTCTTTCTTGTAGTATTCAAGACCTTTGGCTTGATGGAGTATGGGATCAAAAATCTCTTTCATTGGGGAAGATCTACAAGGTTTTGGATGCTTAATATGTTTCAAACTGCTCATTTTCTTCTTTGACCTTAGTAAATCAGTGTTTGGTGAAAGATCCACTTTGTCCAGAGTGAAACTCTCTTCAGCATTCTCATCCATACAACAAGAAAGCACAGGTTTAGATGCTTGTCCATCAGCAAGAGATGACTTTATCTTGGAATCAAGGAAGAGAGAACTAGGAGTATGGTTCTCTTTGTCTGGAGTGAAGATATCTTCGTCATCCTTGTTTTCGCTAGAAAAAGGATCATTTGAAACTGATTCCATTCCAAACTTGTCATGATTAAGTGAGTGAACTTCAGTATCAATGTCAACTTTCTCAATAATTGCTCTATCTCTACCTGTTTGAATCTGAACACTGGAACATTTTCCCCTTCTAGACCAAATGCTCAAATATCTTTGGTGAGATCTTACTAGTGTACTATCTGCATTTTCTGTTTGGGACCCTCCTGAGACAAGAAACGCTAGCGGAGTGCTGTTTTCTTTGTCAGGTTCATAAGCAGGCTGCAGCAAACTGATTTCACTCTCTCCATGGATTTTCTCAGGTGGAATTACAATTACTGCCTTGTCGCCAACAGGAAATAAGAACTTCATTTCTTCAGGCATTGGAGGAGCTGATGGGGTCAAACTTTTTACACATGGCAACAAACTCATATCAGAGAATGATGAATCTAGACCCTGCACTGAATCATCATCCTCATTCTGAAGGGCAAAGTCACTCTCATCCTAGAAAATTGACAAATTAGACAGTAAGGTGATAGAATAGTTAAAAGCGAAGACAACAATAAAAAGAAAACATACAGATAAAGCTTTTTTCTGTTTCCACATACTATTACTATAGCTCACCTGATGTTCTTTTTGATCGGTTTCTTCCATTGATTCTGCCTCACCTAGTGGAGCTGCAAATGGATTCCCCAAATCATATGCACGGCTGAATGGAATCCAATGAAGCCTGTATTCCCTGCTTGAACCTCCAAGCTGCATTTTATCGCCCTCTTTCAAATCTACTCGAACCTCTGGTTCAATCTTGTTGCCCGAAATCCATGTCCCATGGACTAAAACAACAGCAAAACCACAGTCAGAAACTACTCTTTCACTTTCGTATTTTGTGTAGCACAATTTCCTTTTTAGTTTGTCGCAAAAATAATTATATATTTTTATATTTAGAAATAATTTAATTTTAACCTTTTTCATTTATGTTAATGAGATGATTCATAGACACGCAAATGTCTATGACTTATTTTAGACCACAAGTTTCAAAGTCCTTTCTTTTCTAACTCCATGCCCAGTCAAAATTGGGACAGAGGGCGTGATAAACAACAAAAGAAATGTGAATTAACTGGAAATTCATCAATATATGCAGAGAAAATCAACTGACTAGATAAACCAGAATCAAATGAAGGAAAACAGGAANAATCTGAAGCTCGTTCATACCATCTTCGAAACTCATCTCGATATTACGAAGTCTTTCTTCGATCCATTATGTTTCGACCTCGATCAATAGTACGATTGCCGAAGTTTATTTCGACCGTATATAGAAGGAAAGCAGAAAAAAAAAAAGAATCAATCAAAATGTCTAGAGCAAAGAGAAATGAAGCATGTTAAACAATAAATTATACAGAGAATTCATAGTACGCTGAAGCAAAATGATAGAGAGAAATACTAAGCATAAAAATTCTTGTCTTAATCAAGAAAAAAATAAAATAAAGAAACATTAGTGCATTAATAAAATCACCAATATGCAAGATTATGAAGGAAAAAAAACAGTAGTAAAATTTCCACAACCCTCTTCTTTTAAATGTGGCTTGCACCGGCAGAGCTTGAATATATAGTCTAAATAAGATAAGAGAAATTAAAGAATTACCAGAAGACAGATCAATAACAGAGAGGGAGTGAGTAGAGGGATTAGAATGAACGCGGAGGTGGAATCTGCTGATGCTTGGGTGTTCCAAGACTATGTTACAATCTGGATGTCGTCCAACCACCAACAAAATCTCTTCAAAATCTGGTTTCGTTTCTTCAATAGAAGCTGTGGTTATAGGTGGGGGATTATCAAGAAGAAAGATGTTTTTGAGGATGGCTCCATGCTTTAGCACTGTAAACAGTGGAATCTTCTTCTCTAATTCAGTCTGTAAATTGGGGTTTTCCAAAGATTCTTGATTCTCTGCCATGAAAGAGAAACAGAAAGAATTTGTCACAAAGAGAGGGGGAGAGAGGGGGGTGTTTTTGAATGAAATGTTGCAAATGTGACCGTTAGCTTATTTTATATAGAGGGAGTACTGCTTGTGTGAAATGGCCAAACGGGCCAACTTTGTTCTACCAAAAGAAAAAGAAACGGGCTAGCTTTTGCTTTTAAACCAGAATTATTACATGTAATTTTTGTTATTTTTATCTAGGCACTTGGACTTTCTTTTTTGTACTTTTACCCAAATGCTAGTCGAGTTTAATGTTTACTTCTTTTCTTCTGTTTATATAAATTATACAATGTGATCATACACGCTTATATATATATTATATAACTGCATGTTATTTTTAGTTTTAGCGATTTGTTGGACGCTTATTTAGTTAATTCTTCTTCTTTTTTAAAACTTATTACTTCCTCAATCTCATCTTATGTGATACACTTTGACTGACATGTATG